CTGAATTCTACATCCTGATACAAAAGTTAGAAAAAGAAGTAAATGGATTGATGGTGATAATAGGTCACTTTTCCACTTGTTATATTACCGAATTTGTTCCACTGAAATCGAGAAGTACTGACATGAATATCAATCATGTAAACATAATGTCTAAATTCCAAGATGGTCCAATCGTTCTTTCAATTTTTGCTTTCAAAGTTTTTTCAACAATTTCTCAGAAACCTTAGAAGTTTCTAGCCCCGGTAAGTTGTTATACACCAGTAAATTCATTGGAGCATCGTACATTATTAAGCAACAAATTATAAATAGGCTAAATGTGAAGCACAGATCTATCCGAAAATTCCTGATGTTCCAACTATAAGTATCGGAAAAACAGGAATGATATGTTAGGCTTATTTTAGTCTAAAGTTCATTGCTTAGAACTTGCGAAGTTTCCAAAACCATAAGATCCGTAGAAATATGATATTTGTTCCTGCGCAAGGTGCGCAGTAAGTCCTTAACGTCCTTTGATTATGTAAGGTTTTGCTTTGTATTAGCAACGCAATTATGCTTCACAACAGTACTTGGAAAGCACTGGCAAAGACTAAAGAAACGTTAAAGCCTTAAAAAACAATTTAAAAAAATCCACATCATTGAATTTAAGGTTTGCAAGCTTAACCATTTGAATAATGTTTTGATTGACTTAAGAGGAACTAATTGCTAAAATAATTATATAATAATTAATGGGGACCCTAAAATCTGTCATTCCTTCAAGTCAGCTACAGCGGAAGTAGAACTGAAAAAAGGAGCAAAAATCAAGCTCACGACAGACAAGGCTGTAGCTTCGAAATGCAGTGCTGATGAATTATATGTCGACTATGAGAACATGCCAAAAATTCTGAAGCCTGGGGCGCATGTGTTCATCGACGATGGACTCATTTCAGTAGTGGTGGATAGCATCCGTATGAACATTTATTCTATTATTCAGTGATGATCAGCTGTAAAAACTTGCAAGTTGCGAAGTTCAGCCAGTTAAGGCGCATAATTTTGGGGTTACTTCTGAACCCAAATTACAAATTATTACCAATTACATCAGCATTACGTCATTTTTTAATCAAACCTTTGATTTGATTCATCTTTAATTAGTACAAACATAACGAAAACTGTTTATTACTTTCATTTGAAACAATCGAGTAATATTGTCATTTTAGAGGGTAAGAATATAATGTGTACGATCGAGAATGGAGGCAAATTAGGTAGCAAAAAAGGGGTCAATCTTCCTGGTACTAAGTGCGACTTGCCTGCCGTTTCCGATAAAGACATTAAAGATTTAAAATTCGGTGTCGAACAGGTTCCAATTTACGAACTTTCTCTAAAGTTTTCACCTTTAAATTAGAGTTAACTTAAAGATAGTTTTATTTCTGCAGGGTGTTGATATGATATTTGCATCGTTTATTCGGAACGCTGAAGGCGTACGTACAATCCGGCGTAATCTTGGCGAGAAAGGAAGATTTATTAAAATTATAGCAAAGATTGAAAATCAAGAAGGCATTGAAAAGTGAGCTAATTATTGATAAGTTAATGACAAGCAAGTGATAATCAAATTTCATTTCCAAAAAGTGAAAATACATTGCTTCCAAATTCTCAGCAAATTGTCACTTATGTTCATTCTGAACAGTAGTGGGAAGTGTTCTTTTGTAAAGAAATGGAAAATATATATACATATCAAAGGACTTTTTAGCGCAGATGAAATAATCAGAGAAGCAGATGGATTAATGATAGCACGCGGTGATTTGGGTATTGAAATTCCCACTGAGAAAGTATTCGCAGCGCAGAAAATGCTAATCGCACGATGCAATGTGGTCGGGAAGCCCGTGGTGTGTGCTACTCAAATGCTTGAATCAATGACTAAGAAGCCAAGACCTACTCGAGCTGAGGGTAAGTTAATGCATTAAGGATAGCATGATCCAATAGGAACATTTTCTAGATATGAAAAAAAGAAAAACAAAATTTAGATTAAAGAATGCTAAAATGCTACCATTTTTGTCTCTAATGTTTTGACAGCTTTACGAAAATTTCAGTTCCAATAGGTTGTAACTGTATACTTGTTGCTCGAGGACTGTACTGATCGTCGTCGCTAAAAATGACAAGTTTATTGCATCATTAATCGCATACTAAAAAAAAT